AGTAAAACCTATAGCTCCTCTTTTCTCGGAGATTATGGCCTGGAAAATACAAGCAATTCTCTAAATACATAGGTTCAGTCAGGGATAAAAGGGCCTAAGGTTCGCTTTCAACTTGCTTTGAATCTGTTTAAATGAAGGGTTCCCTTTTATCACATCGATGATATGAAAAAACAATAGTACAGGTATAGCAAGCAGGACAGAACAGGTTCTAATTATTTTTATATCCTGGCGATATCAATCCTGTGAACATCTTAAAGTACAACGATTAGACCACTTTTTTTCGAATTATAATTTGAACACTTTTTACTTCTCAACTCATTTTTGCTGAGCTGCTTCGATATATTTGGTCAACAAATGAAGTCGAAACAGAGGTTAAAGTTTCAGAAGTAAATGAAAACGACATATCTCGTAACTTTAGAGCGTTTTTTACGAAAGCGGTCCAAACTTAACTTTAAGAAGAAGAGGTCCTTAGCAACTTAGAAAGAGAACAGGATCGCTAGAACAAAATTAAGCTGAAGCATCAGAGAAAAAAAAACTATATTACGCGTTTGTTAACTTATTTTTCCCGAGAAATTTACCAGTAAGCCTTGACGGACTTGATGTACTCCCAGTTTTCCCAGCGTGCATTGTTTTCTAAGACATTTCTACGGTATGGAGTCGATATGTAGAGATATTGATTGAAGGCAAGTCTTATTGTCGCGTTGTTTTATTCAACGTTCAACTGCGTGCAGTTGTGAGCTATTACCTTTTTAACTGTACTGTCGACCGACAATTTAACCCCTCAACGCGACTCAAATCTTTGAAATTGCGCCTCCTGTCAGGTGATTTTCCACATAATTTTACCCTCGATAACTCGAACAATGTTTGTCGGTGAGAAGCAACTCTACACAAAATTACCACGCTGGGCCTTATTTCATTTTAAAGCAGCAGAGTCTAAAAGGGCCCTTATTTGTTTGTTTGTTTTAATTTTGTTTCTGGTTCCGTCATTGTTTTGCTTTGGTTTTTATCTTTTTTTATTTTGAACAAAATAAAAAGCCTCCAGTTCGGCCGTTAAAGTTTATATGTGATTACCACACACATTTTTATTAATGTAATTACTACACACCTACAATGTAATTACTACACACCTTGCAATTCCACATCTGACTCACTGACTTCGTTTTCATTCTTTCCTTGAACAAATAACACCAGGAATATAACACAGATTGCTGCCTGTAAACAAGAAGGTCAAGCGATCAAAGATCATATATAAACTTCTATCTATGGGCTTAGAAGATTCAGAGGAAGCTAATTACCTAACAGCCACTGCATATATATTTGTAAGTCCATTCAAATTTCGTTCGATTTATTTAAACGTAAAAAAATTCTAAAGCGTTTTTCTCGAACACAAGTACGTGGGAGACGAAAGCTGATTTTAACACTAGTCAGGTGCGATTTCTGTTCGAACACAAGAAAGAGGAAATTGAAAAATGACGTCAAATCACTTCGGTCATTTATTTCCTTTCCTTATAAAGGTTATTGTTATGATTCAAAGTATTTTGTATAAGTTTGACGCCAGCCCCATCGCTTTGGAAGCGAAACGAATTTAAAGCTAACGCAAAAAATGAGATTTTAGCACAAGATAGGGGGTGCAATACTAACGGAAAATTTCTCCTATAGGCCTGGTACATCGCAGGTGATTTGATTTGATTCATTCACTCCAAAATCAGGGTTACAGACAGAGCATAAAACTGACAATTTGTAAGCTCAGGATATCATCGTGGTTTCCTGTTCAAACAAACTACTTCGCTGAAATTCTGCTTTAAGGTGTCAATATCAAGAGATTATAAACTGTTGGATGTACCTACCAAAATTAAAAGCCTGCATGTATTCATGGTTAAGGAACTTTATGGCTAGTGTTTATAAAAAAAAGGATCTGCTTTCCAATTTCCTCTGCAATAGTCACCTCTGCTGTTATCCAATGATTGAAACAATTTCAGTGTGTTCTTTTATAGCGATTTAGGATCACGTGTCATGATTCATCAATATAGCGTTTTTCTTTTATTTACTGTGCAACAGGGCTGCGGTTTGCGTTAATCGTGAGGTTCTTCAGGATCTGGAAAATGCCAATCATATCTACATAACAAATAATTACCGGCGAACATGTTGGCTTTAGAACTTGAATTCAAGTAGGGTGTAGCTATTTTTTCCTTCTTTGCGTCTATGTTTTGGGATAAACACCATGGAAACTAATTAAATACGAAACTGAAACAGCGCACAATTTTTCTAGATTGAAAATTAATTGCTTTTTTTTTTGATAAAAACAACCTATTCCTGAGTGAATTAACTAAACTTAATTCGCAGCCACAATTATAAAGCATTGGAGGATTCATTGCCCTTTGAAGATTGCGTTATTTCTTTAATGCGTAGCTTCTGGATCTGTCTCTTTAGTCAATATAACGCATGTCCATGCTACAGTTGTAATAGAGCGGATTGCTATCAAAATTGATGGGCATTTGAATATCAGGATGCCGAAGAAATCGGTTTAATCAGAACAGTGTAAATCAAGCTTTTGTCAAGATTCATTCCCAAAGTTAACTTTTAAAACTATCTCATTAAGAAGATAATTGATCTCAACTTGTGACTCATTAAAATCATGTATTAACACTGTCACTTAGTCACTTGAACACATTCTTAACGCATTAATCCCGGGCTCGACCCGAAATGGATGATATCAGTCTAACATTTCACCGAAGTTATTTTTTTAGGAGATAAATGTGCCGCGTAAATAAATGTTTTTATGTTTCATCTTTTCAGCTGTTGATTGGCATGTTTTCTGGTCTTTCTATGCCGCTGCGAAGTCTTTGATTTTTTTAATTTATATTGATCATAGTAATTACTCAAAGGTCATCATTAAAAAAGAAAACTTTAGTTATGGAGAAGAAAACATAGCTATTAACGCGCCTTTGATCCAAAGATGATCAACGCTTCTTGTAAGTACCTATAATTGTTGCTTTTTTCCATTACGTGTGATAGACTGTAGAAAACTTTGAATGTTATGCAACAATGATTTTCTCATGACTTTGTGAAGTCTGTGCATTGATGCAGTAAACTGAATTTCTCGAGTGATCCACGGAATAAATATAGGACGCTGATTTCATTGAAGTACTAACGTGGGCGGTTTCTTCCGCTAACATCTTTGTTAACATGGAAACAGTCACACTTCGAACGTGATGTTTTCAATAACCAAATAACTCGCTGCGTTTCTCACGGCTAAGGACTTGAAATGGTAAGAAGTTAATTGTGCTACTAGAAAAAAAGGAAGGTAGGAATGCTTAATTCCTTCTTTCCTTGAATGAACGCCGGTCACAACATCGCCTGTGCGTCAACTGCCATTCCAATACCCTTCATCTGGGTTGGCCCGATATGAAGCACGATTGGTTGGGCACGATATGAAGATTTTTCAATGACTTTGCTAAACTCAAGTGCCTTTGTGTGGGCGAGATAAGTGCTGTCGACAAAACTGTGACTTAGAAGTGTATCATAGCCGAAAACTAACATGACAATGTTTTTCAGTCAATATATTTCAAAATTATTTTTAGCAGACTTACTCTTTCTTAGATTATTTAAGGTTTTTTTTTTGTGGTCCGGGTCCTTGTGAAAGACCATCGTCACAGTTTTAAAATCTTCCTGAAAGAACCCGATAAGATTACACAATACAAATTTTTTCAACACCTTCTCGTGATATTTCGTTAAGATTTGTTTGCGGATTATCGTAGTTTTGCCGACAAATGAATAATCACCACACCCTAACAACGTGTTACACTTAGCAGCGCGTGCCGTTTTTGTTCGTGACTCATGATCTCGATCATGACAAATATTGACAATTAATATTCTAACAAGAATTACACTATGATAGACAATGGGTTGTGACTTCACTGGCATAATGACACGAACGATGAATCATAACGTTCGTTTTTTTTTCTGTTAACGCTGTGTGCATCTATGCGCAAATCTTGATCGGTTAATGTTTTCAATTTTTGAGCACCTGTTAAATAGATTTTTTAGGAATTTTTTCTTAGCAGTTTGTGAGGTTTTCACAGCGCTATGTTTAAAAACTTGCCGCTAATATTATCACTGAAAGGACAAAACCGCAGGTATTCCAGTATTGCCCCCTTAAATTGAATGAATTACGATAGGCTTTGTTAATAATGAAAACTACCAGTCTCCGTTAAAAAAAATATTTGACGAGTGATGATTTAGAGCCAATATTACTAAGTGAAGCGTAAATCTTACAGAAGGGCGAGCGTGATTCGTGAATTTATGAACCAGAGAGGTGCACGAAATATACGTGACCCGAAATATACTTGACCCGTATATCATTTCGTAAACGGCATCAAGATTTCCCTAAAACCTTAAACACAAGAAGAGAGATTTGAAGTATTCCCTTCTAAATACGTGACCCGTCAATTTTAATAAAACTAGTACGTGCGTGAAACGGGGGGTAGGGCCCTTGCTTTGCTACACTCTTTCAACCCGTGACCTCTGGGAACGTGATTGCACCTGGTCATCGAACCCAGTTGAACTCTTGGTCTCTAACCTCAAGAAGCATGCCTGGGTGACATGTCGTTTGTAGAATCCTCGTTTCCTTTTCGTCGGATCGAGATACGAGCGACGGTTCGGGTAAACGAGTAGCCATGGGGATGAGAATGGGCCATTGGTTGTGACTTAACACTTGGATGTACAAGGGGGTAGGGGGTGGGGGGGTGGTGCACTACCCCTCCCGAGTTTTTTTTTAATTTTACGAAGAGGATTTTGTCTGTCCACCTCGGTAGTTGTTTGTTTATCTTGAACCTGGTGCAAATCGGTTCATGGGCATAACCTTGCAAGTTATGTTTTTAATACCAGCCTGAGTTTTCTCCTTAAAATCCTCCAATTAAGTACCTTATCAATAAAAAATTTACACACAAACTAGAAATAATTTTTGTTAAAACCGTTTTCATTTAGGGTTATGTGAGAAATATGGGCAAACAAAAGTACAAAAACACCTTATATGGTCATGTTGTTTTGCGTTACCAATGCAACGGACATAAACAATTCATTCTGCCCGCAGTCGCTAATTTATATTCGAGTATTGGTTAAGTTTGAAAACGTGATTCCATAATTCTTTGGTCGATGATATAATTCCAGTCTAAGCACATGCCTTTAACACATGATCATAAATAATCATCCCGAGACGCTATCATGCATACCAGCTTGGACGAGATGGTATAACGATTTATGGAGGTCATTCAAATCTCAGTGTTGTTCTGATCAGATAAAGTGACTTAAATATGTGTAAACATCCAAGCTTACTTAAGGTGTGATATATCTTAGGTGAAGAAGTTTTCTTGGCTGTAAATTTTACCAAAGAAAAGTTTGCATACCCATTTAGCTTAGGTTTTGGTCATGTTCATAAGCCTAAAAATCCGCTGAAGTCGGTGCCATGGAGATTAAAATCGTCTTACATGTGTTAAAGGATGGGAATAAAAACTCCAATGTGAGTTTCATGGTGAACTACTGACCCAGTCAACCCCAAAAAGGCAGGAATGTTTTTGAAGAAGATATTAACTTTTATTTCTATATGTCTATATCGATACTATGGCGTCATTTAGCATCACTGTTGTAATATTTTTAAGAACGTTTTGTAGGGTCCTTTGAAATCATTTTTACCAGATCCCTTTTTGATAAAAGCACTGGTAAGCTAACATTGTAATGGCCATTATGTCTCTCATAAACATTATTGTCATCAGCATTATCGTCATCATCATCTCTATTATCATTGTTATCATTATTATTAACTGATCAATTGAATTGTGTACAGGTTCAGAAACAACCGTTCGGCAACACACTAAGACGACTAACGAGCTTAAATTCGCTGTCGTCGCAAACGATAAGTGACAGCTGTGGACACATTAAAAGTGAGTCATGTAATCCCATGATGAAATTTTCGAACACGCAAACACCATGGGAACAAGACATATATCAGACGAAAGCAACAGAAATGAAAGTAACGGAAATAAACACCTCGAAGAAAAATAGGTGAGATATGAACGTTTGGAGAAATCATGAAATACCTTGTATACGGATCAATATGTGGTAAATCCCTTTGCAGTTTTTTTGCAGTTTTTTACAGTTTTTTAAGAGGAGACAAGTTTAATTGAGCATTACCTTACATACTTTTCGTCTTGTGCGAATGGCTTGCGTCAAACACTATGGCGACGACGACGACGTAGAAATGGGTACATTGATATTTAGTTACTGATTTGAGTGATTCTAGGAGGTCGACAAATACAACCATGAAAAGAGGCCTGATGATATTGAATAAGAGGATTTCTGAAAAACCTCTAATCAGTGAATCGCAAAGCCTTCTTTTATCATTCGCTCAGTTTTAGAGGGTTTTGACGAGTTCTCGCACCTTCAGGTAAATTTTCTTTTGGGTTTTTAGACAAGCCAGCCATAACTGAAGAATACGAACAGTTGTAATTGCTTTATGACCTAACGCCTTTACCATTCATTAACGGAAAAGAGAAATTTAAGCTACTTTACTGGTAATTAAAAACATTTTGATAAAAAGCATTGTTATTTTGATCACCAAACGTTTCATCAGCGTAGTCATTTGATCATTGACCGCTCAGGAGTCATTGTTCGTTTTCCTATGATGTGTTAAGTTTTTTTGAGTGACCTCGGAAGCAGCTTTAGGAAAAGTCATCTAATTTCACCGATTGACGAGTAGAAAAGCGCGCGCAACATCAATTACGTTTAATTGATTAGTCTCTGTGACGTCAATTAACAGACACATTCAAACCTTTCTCACAATTTGCGTTTATGCCTTCCGTCACAGTGTGGCAGTCTTTTTTGCTGCATGTTAATGAAATCATAAACCGTCTATGGGAAAGATGTAATGGAAAATGATCTTTTAAGTAACGGAGTTTCAAAGGTAAATCTTAGTTTAGCGTTATCAGGGTTTTAGAAAA